CAGAGCTCATTGACTGTGAATCACTGTTGACTCAGCCATTGATGTGTCTCTGTGCCATCGAGAGTGTTGGTGAGGACCCACTGCTGTATCCAGGAACCTCCTCCAAGCAGCCAGGTCTTCACGTTCTGGAACATTGATCCTGGAATTTTCTTACTTGGCCAATGCCAACCTGTCTTTTGTACATATCTCCACTATAACAGTGTATATAAAGCTTCATCGACATCACTGTCTCTCGCACCCAGGTCCCTAGACGTTGTGTTGTTGAGGTCATTTTTTCTGATGATGGATACTTGATTCCCTAATCCAATTCATGCCAGCTGCTGTATCTGTGCCTTGTAGTTTTAATGCCAAATTACAGTGCGGTCTTTTTGAAGACATTCAAAGTGACAGTTAGACTCAGTTTGTGTAGTGCCAGCAACACATGTGACTCGGTGAAGCGAGAACAGATCTAGTACAAGGCTGTGAGCAAAGTCACAACAGGCAAGCAAGGACACCCACAACCCCACTGCCACCTGAGTGACAGCAAATACAGGACACTACTGTGCAAAAGAGATCCCTAGTTCAGAAATGTTAAATGTGAAAAAAAAGTTCATTATGGATTTGATAAAATGCAGACCATTAATTCTTATAACCACCATGCTGAGTAGCTCATTTTGATTTTCAAATGAGACCAAGGCTCAGCTGTGCCTTACGAGTGTCCCACTTACTAATAAGCACATGGTAGATTTGGGGTTCTGGTACCTAGATTTTTCTGATTCTGAAGCTCATACTTGCCACCATACTATACTGTTAAAAAAAAAAAAGTAACTAGACTTGAGGCTTCAAGTTTTATTTAGTAAATAATTGTTGAATAAAGTCATCAGGGAGGATGAAAATGCAAGCATGCCTTACTCCTGGAAATATGATGTAACATAGTCTGATATTTTGGACAGTAGGTAAAAGGAGGGAATATGGTGACTATTTCACAGAAAAGGAATATTTGTGGTTCTCAGGTCTTCCCAGTCTGTAGAAGAAGCAAAAGGATGAAGAGTGGAAGGAAGTTTGTCTCTGTCCCTGGTTAACAGAACCTGTCAGCACCTGCCTGTTGGACAGCGCTAAAGTAGCTCCTTAAATTCTTCCTCTTCACTGCCTATAAATCAGGATCCACAGGGCTTTACACATTGTGCTGTCAAAAGGATAGCAGAAAAGGAAAATGAATGTGACAATCCTTAAAAAAAGAAAGTTCACATATAGAGGGTTTGTTATTTGATAACGGCTATTTTTTAACAAAGGTTTTAGAAAATCCTATAACTGATCTGTAAAATATGAAAATTTATATTTTTGAGCACCTACCGCATGCTAGATATTTTGCTTAGAGCTTTTACATATGTCATGTAACTCTCATAATAACTCTAGTAGGTGATTATTTTCAGGTACGGTGAGAATGGTGAGCAGTGGTTCCAGTCTGGGAGGAGGGTATTTAATTCTGAGTCTCTGCATTCTCTCCTATATGCTCTGCTTCACATTCAAGCTTAAGGCTGACCAGCTGTTAGAAACCATTTTATGCTCTCCTTTTGCACATGAGGACACTGATGCGGAAGGATTTAAAGAGGCTTAGTTAGCAGTGGAGGCATGCCTATAATTCAATTTTCTTGACAAATTTATTAAACAATAAATAAGGGCAGAATGTCACTGTGGCTAAATAGTTCAGTGGTTACAGTAACTCAAGCAGGTTTTAAACTGTATTTTAAGGAACAGGAACAAATAACCAGATCTTCTGTATCATTGTTTTAGATTCCTGGTGCTTTCTGTTTTATAAAGATTTGGCTATTAAACTTGATAACAGTATTCTAAAATTATTTGGGACTGCCACTGTTAGTAGTATTCACATCCTTTTTTTTTTAATGATTAATGCATTTATGCATACAAGAATTGGGGTACAGGTCAAAGGTGCAGGACATCAGAGAATTCACCAGAGACAGAATGGGGAACAGAACAGGCAGAGGGGAGCAGTGGGTGGGACAGGAGAGGTCTGCCATGTCATGTGGGTCAGCTCCTTGGCCAGGGACTGAACTTGTGCTGCAGTGGCTGTGGACAGCTTCCTAGTGCTTGGCATTAACCTATTGCACCACCAGGGAAGACCCAGTATTCACATTCTTATAACTGAATTTTACTAGCAGATTTCCCGGGTGTAGATGAACTAATCTGTTATTTTACCCTACATCTGCTAGATACTTAGTTATGCCTCCCTCCATTTGATCCTTGTGTCTTATGGGTTACTGATATTTTACATCATGTTAATATCTATTTCCTTATTATGGTGAGATTAAAAGAGAAAGGACTTCATTCTGGTGTGAATATCTGACCCATCTCCGTTTCTGCTTCTTGCCTTTATTCCTTCTTCAGTTTTGTCTTTCCTGAGAAGTCAGTTGGTTCCAAGTCTTCTCTTTTCCTGCTATACACCTTGATTTCTTTAAACCCCTTCCAACAAATTATTAAGTACCTGCCACATGTCAGATCTAGAGTTACTGTATTATTCCCTGACATGATGGAACTTAGAGTCAGGCAAGATGCAATGTGATCAAATATCTTTTTTTGCCTCCCACCCCAAAAGTGAGTATGTGTATGTATAGCAGATATTCTGCACAGAAGAGGCTCCCAGGCATTTTGGACACAAAGTTCCTGCTTTCTAGAGTTAGGTCCAGCCATTGGGTGTTTAAATGTCTTTTCTTTCTTCTTTCTTTATCCTGGTTCAGAAGTTGGAGCATGTGACTTAAGAATGTGTTTCTTAGCTCAAGTGAGATAAGAATGTGTTTCTTAGATCAAGTGACTTACGAATGTGTTTCTTAGCTCATTTCCATTAATATGACTGGGAAAAATTCTGGCTGAATTTTGGCCAGTGATCCTTTTACCTTTAGTTTAGTGGTGGTGTGATAGTTTTACTATTCCTACCTTTTTTTTTTTCTTTTAAAGATTTATTTATGCATACAGAGCTAGGGTGCAGTCCAGAGGTGCAGGGGCGGTGAAAGTATTCATCAAAAATAGAATGGGGAGCAGAATAGGCAGATCGGCAAAGTACACTGCTGAGGGGAGCAGCGGGCGGATCAGGAGAGGTCTGCCGTACCATGTGGGTCACTCCAGGACTGGGGATTGAACTTATGCTGAAGTAGCTTTAGCTTTTCAGTGCTGTGCTTTAACCTGCTGCGCCACAGGCAGGGCCCCTACTGTTCCTACCTTTTAATGGGCAATGGGGGGAGGTGTATCCAGTATTGCTGTCCTGCTGCCTTATTGATAGCAAATGTCACCTGCTTTTTAAAATGTCGATATTTAAAGAAATAAAATGTCAGTGTTTTATCATCATCAAAAGAGAAGGTTGACGACCTTAAAACGCCCATTTTGGAAAAGAATAAGGTTTCAAGATGTAGTACATATGGGTACTTAATAGAGCTTTTGGTTTATCACTCCCATGCTGACCAAATGGGAAGTAAAGTGTATATTTTTATTCACCAAATTGTACTCCAGAAAATTCAGCCATTTCCACTTGCTATTTTTTCTCTTGTTTTGTCACTGTTAGTATCCTGTTTTGTGTATACAGAATGTAAATAAAAATGTTTTTAAAAACAGAATAATGAACAGCTATATACCAGAGACGTTGTATGGGAGTGGCGTGGGGGATGGGATCAAAAGTGGAGGGGAAAAAAAAAAAAAAAGTGGAGGGGAAGGGGGAAGTGCACTGGACTATGGTGATGGCACACGGGTGATTTGGTGAGGGATTACAACTGAGATGGAAAAAGGCACAAAGTGATGTAAAAATAAACTATTGTAATAAAATTAAAAAATATGTTTTTCAAGTGACATTATTATGAAATACAGTATGACAATAACAGGCCTAAAATTTGCTAGTTTGTGGTAAAGACATCTGCACTGATAAGAGACTGAGCTGTTTCTCCTCCCTCACCACTACCCCTGTGTCCCCGCATCCCATTTCTACCCCCTCCCTCTTGACCGCGAGCCCTCCTGGTACTTATTAATGTCCTCTGGTTCATTGTTTTTTGAAAAATATTTTAATTTGCTGTGTAAATGTGCAGTCATTTTTATTGTTCTGACTTATTACCCATTATTCTTTTACTTCCTTCCATTTTGCTGAAAATGTCTGCATTTCACCTTTCCTTATGGATGAATAGCATCTATGGTGTGGATAGACTGCACATTTTTTTTTAAGATTTATTTATTTATGCATACAGAACTGGGGTACAGACCAGAAGTGCAGGGGTGGTGAAAGTCTTCGCCAGAGACAGAGTGGGGAGCAGAACAGGCTGACTGACGAAGTACATTGCTGAGGGGAACAGCGGGTAGGCTGAGAGAGATCTGCTGCACCATGTGGGTCACCTGCGGAGCTGGGGATTGAACTTATGCTGAAGTGGCTGTAGCTTCTTAGTGCTGTGTTTTAACCCGCTGCGCCACCAGGGAGGGCCCAGACCACACATTTTGATCCACTTCTCCAGTGATGAACATTTAGGCTGCTTCCATGTTAATAACTTTAGTAATATTTTTTAATGCATAGAAGAACAGGGGAGTAGGTCAGAGGTATGAGGGCTGAGAGGATTCATCAGAGCTAGTGGGGAGCAGAAGAGGAGGATTTACTGAAATACACTGCTGAGGGGAGCAATGGGCAAGACAGGAGAGGTCTGCTGTGTTATGTGAATCAGCTCCCTGGCCAGGGATCAAACTCAGGCCCCAGTGGCTGGCTGTAATGCTGAAACTTTAACTCCTGTGTACCAGGGAGGCTGCTAACTTCAGTATTTTTGACCAAGGTTACATCCAGCTATGAGAGCCTAACACAAAGCAAGTATATATTGAGTACACTGTATTATTATTACAAATAATTTTTCCATTTTGCCCAGGTGTGTCATCTTTAATAAACCTTTTTTCTTTCCCCTTTGTGGTTGAGACTGTAATTTATTAAAATGTGTGATCGATTTAAAATTTTGGTTCCTTTTCTCTTCTCTGGCACATTGCAGAGAGGCCTTGTCGTCCTTGGTGGATATGTGCGTGGTGGACACATGACTGCTCTCCAGCCCACTGCTCTAGGTGTCCCAAACCTGGGCTGAGCTTAGGGACGATGGATTCCAAAGACGAAAGCTCGCACGTGTGGCCCAGGTCTGCAGAGCACGAAGGCAGCGCTGCACAGGTGAATGCAGTCTTCCCGCTCCTTCTTGCTAGCGTGGCTTTGGCTGGGTACACCTGGCTTGCAACAAAAGGAACAGCAGTTTCAAGATGGTAATGAGTCGTTGGGAGGGAGCCGACACACGGAACTTGCATGTGAGAAAGAGGCAGTTTCTGCTCTTCTGTGCACCATTGATGTGGCTCAATGTAATTCAGAAGAGCAAAATTCACGGGTGAATTGGTGGTGGGAAGCCCATGGGGATGACAACTGAGATGAAAAAATATACCAAATGAAGAATGATGTAAAAAAATAAAGTACATAATTAAAAAAAAAAAAAAAAGAAGAGCTAAACTACTACCCAGAGGCTTCCAGAGAACTGACTTTCCCCCAATGATTCTCAAATGTAGTTTTTTTTTTTTAATGCTATTCAGTACAGTGTATGTGTATGAAGTGAGTGGCTTTTTCTTAATTTCAGACTCATACTGTAAACCTCTAACTGAGAGCTGTCTCCCTGAGTCAGCAGCTCCAGGGTTGGGCTCGTCTTTCATGCTGCTCTAACTGATGACCTCTGCCTTCTGTGGCACCATAGTCAGCCGCACATTATTGTGACTATTAGCAAAGGCAAATCTCTGCCTTTTTAAGAACTTGAATTTTGAGAGGTGCAGTCTTCTGAAGCCATGTTTATATGTGTCCAAAGCAGAAAACTTAATTTTGAAGCATCCTAATATAGATGTAATTTAAATTTAAGTTTTCAAAATGTTCAACATCAGTAATTATCAGGGAAATGCAAATCACAACCATAGTGAGATACCACCTCATTCCAATGAGAATGACCCACATTAAACCAAAAACAACAAATTCCTACTGCTGATAGGACTGTGAGCTGGTCCAGCCACTATGGAAAGCTGTACAGAGAATCCTGAAAATACTAAAAGTAGATCTACCATATGATTCAGTGATTCCACTCCTAGGAATCTACCCAAAGGTTACAAAAATACTAATTTGAAAGGAACTGCACTCCGGGTTAGTGCAGCTTTATGTATAATAGCCAAGACATGGAAACGATCCAAATGCCCCAGAACAGACAAATGGATCAAAATGCTGTGGTATATATACACACTGAAATATTACTCAGCGATCAAAAAAGGTAAATGTATCTGATTTGTAACAAAATGGATGGAGCTGGAAGGGATCATGCTAACTGAAACAAGTCAAAAGGTAAAAGATAAATATGGGCTGGTATCACTTATATGTGGAATATAGAGAAACCAAATAAAAGGTCAAGAAAAAGTCAAAACTAGCCAGCTAGCCATAAATCTGAAGCATATAGTCAAAGAAAGGGAGGAAGAGGTGTCAAAAAAAGGGATGGAAGAACAAGGGAATGTGGTGATCGATCACAGGTGATATGGTGGCAGGAGAACTATGGGGACTACAATGATATAAGAAAAAAATTTAGTTAATAAAAATAAAATTCATGAAATAAAAAAATAAGTAAATTTAAGTTTTCATTAAATTACACAGTAGTATTAGTGAAATCAGGAAGTTAACATTGGAGTGTTTAAATGTACATGTTTTATTTAAGCGGAATATAATAATAAATAAAATTGATCAACTGGTATGATTTAAAAGTCTGAGCCAGACACATGAAAGAAAATGTTCCAGGGATGCCTTAACAAATAATTCAGAATGCTATTTTGTTTCTCATGGAAACCATTTCCTTTCATGAAGATACATATTTGGGTGCATTTTGTTTATAAACAACAATGTTGTCCATTTAAGAAAAAATATGGACCCCACTTTGGGTTACCAGACTGTACAGCAGAGGTTGGCACTCCTGTGACACCCCGTCTTCCCAGTTATCCCTCTTCCTGCTCAGAAATTCTGATTTAGTAGAGTCCTGATAATTCATCTTTGAGATGCCTTTTATTTTTTTTAAATACTGCAATTAATGCAAGGTTTTGATATGAATGAACAAATCTAAAATCACAAAATTATCTTGCAGCATTTAAAACTGTACAAATAGGTTGTGTACCTTATTCTTCTGACGTATAAACTATATCTTCATCGACAAATCAAATTTATGTAGAAGCCAGTGTAGAAGTGGAAGTTTGTTTTATTCCTGTAGTGATTCATTGCATCTGGTCTCCAGATTTCTTTCTGGTGATTAAATTAGCATATATTAATTTTTGCATTTACTACCCTCATTGGAAAAAACTGAAATTTAAAAAAAAACCCAGTCCAAAGCCAAGATATAAGAGTAATGATTCTAATCTATGAGAATCCAGTGCCAATATCAGCACATACATTATTTCTCTCCCAAATGTATATTTTAGTCTTCGGCTTCCTTGCCTTCACCATAAGACATCAGGCTGTATGCCAGGCTCTTCTTGCCTTTAAGAATTTAAACCTCCAAAATTAGCTATCCAGAAAATATTTTATAGAATTCAATTTCTACTTGACTTCTTAGTAGGTAGAAAATTATTTGCTCTAGTGACAAATGGAATAGTTAAGCAAAACCTCTTCAAAGCCTTTCACTAGAGTTTTCTATCTCTTTACCCAGCTGACTAGGGGGAGTTCTGTTACATCTGTTGATTCAGCAGACATTTACTGTTGCTTCTCTAGTATGGCTTTGAGTTAGAAAAGAATATGTAGAAAATAAAGTGACCTTGTTTTAATAAGTGTCTGCTGAAAGACACTATTAGTCGTTAAGTAGAACTTTTATGATCTGTTGAGAGCAATTGGCTTTGTGATCAATTTACTTTTTTTTTGCATAATAGATTCATTCATATTTGGTATTTTGAGAATATTGTCAATTGGAACCTTCAGTCATGTTTCCAGGTTCAGGTAGTCACCCCTTAATGACTCCCCCAAATCGACAGCTGCATTGGCTGTTTGAGGCTAAGGGGAACTGAGGCCATTTGCCTTATATTAACAGTCAGTGGCCAGGTCCAGGCTCCATCTCCAAGGCATTCAGGCATTCACTCAGCGTAGATGACGATGTGTCAATCCCCCTTCCCTTCACTGGCGAATTTTAGAAAATGGCCTGTGCTTGTGGCCCGTTCGGCTGGCCACAGACTCTGCGAGGTGGGCTTTGTTCTAGACGGGCCGTTGTCATAAACATGCTGTTTCTTTGCCGCAGGTGCACTTTGTTCCAGACGCGGGGACTGTGGCTCAAATCGTCTACACCGATGACCAGGTCCGTCCACCCCAGCAGGTGGTGTACACAGCAGATGGCACCTCCTACACCTCAGTGGACGGCCCAGAGCACACCTTGGTGTACATCCACCCTGTGGAAGCTGCTCAGGCATGTGAAAGATTCCTGTTTATAGTTGGTTCGCTCTCCGGCGATTGTGCACTGCCCGCGGGGTCCCTGTGCTAGGGCTGGTGAGGCAGGAAATACAAGCCAAGACTTGTGTTCTCAGGAAGCCCATGGCCAGCTTGGCAGAGGAAGATAGAGTTTAGCATTTGAATTAAACTTAGGAATTACAGCATTAGCTTCACATCATTTCTTCTACCCAGAGACCGTTTATAAGATTATTTACTTGTTCCTTTTTGGAAGGCTCGAGAACTAGGCCAATAATGGCATTGGGTTCTGATTACCTTAATCAAAGATGGATAAGGAAAGCATACAGATTATGTCACTTAAATGTATAAGGGTTCTGCTAGCTTATTAACTGCAGTTTATTCATGGCTCACTGATTTATAGAACTGTACTTGGAAGCAAAGGTAAAGCTTACGGTTATAATTACAGCTATCTTTTTTGTTAGTGACTTGGAGTGTGTATTTCCAGTTGTACCACATTTATATATAAATGTTTGTTTCTACTACTAGCAGTGTACAGTGTATAAAATAACTTTGAAAATAATTTCCATCTTTTGTAGTAGAATTCTGATAATAATTTAATCAGGAGGCTAAAATCACCCCCAAGAAGAAGAAATGGGGTTCCTTAATAAATACCTTTCAAGTCTATATATAAAGATGAAATTACTAGCTCAGCAGATCGCACTTTTGCAATGCCTCAGTTTAGTTTTAGTCCTCTAATTATATCAAAATAGGAACACATAGTTTATTTAAAGAATGCTGTGCCCAATTTTTGTTATGTTACTAAATGTCTAAACTATGATAATTTTTTAATGTCAAATCTAAGAAATCTAAAGCTGACTGATACACTCTTTTACAGTCCTTTAGAATAAAAACTTAATCATAGCTTTTAGTACCATAGGTTGTCTAAAGATGTGGGTAAATTAAAGTTTTTTAAAGGCTTTAGTAGAAAGTGTGTTTTCTTGGATTAGAGATTTTCTGTGGTGCTTACCTAAAATAATTTTGAAGGTTTTCCTCCTCTAGTTAGCTTTGCTGATTCATGACTCAGATTGTTACATCTTTAAACATGTTTTTATGATAATTTAAAAAATTAGCCTCTATTAGCTTTCTCTAAAAAAGAACCTAAGGAACTTTAAATTCAAGTTATTTTTCTCCTACTTTTGATAATGAGCATGCATTAATATTTGAAAGAGTTGTAATCCTTGCTTACACAATACTCTTCTGTATATCTTCATTTAATCACAAGCTGGTGTGTTTAATATATAGTCTTATATGTGAACGTATGCAAATTCATTCATGGCATTTCTTACATTTTCCTAACATGTCTTTTTAATTATCTGTGACATTCAACCTCAAGAGGCTTTGCTTAAGAGAAAAATCATGAAGATGGGTTAGCTTATAAAAAACTTTGGAGCTATCTGAATGAAATAATTTAGCCAAATGTAGAGTATTATCTTTACCTTCTTTATTAATGGAGGATTATTACTAGCTGTCTGGGAGTTAATGCTCCCAAGAATTGGTGCTTAGCAGTAGGATAATTTTTCCTGTGTAAGTGAGCTCTGTGTAAAGATCTATTGACCAGGTGTTCTTCTTTCTTTGTTTTGTAGACTCTGTTTACAGACCCAGGCCAGGTAGCTTATGTCCAACAGGAAGCTGCTACTCAGCAGGTAATGGGTTGGTTACCTTTGCCTTTTTGCTAGTTTTGAATAATTCTGTGAAAGTTAGCACTGGTAGAAATAGGCCTCATCCCCTCAACTCTCTGTACTCTGTATTCTCTGGATATTTGTTTCTTATTGAATTAAGAACACTTTCCATTTCTTTAATGAAAACAAAACAAAACATACTCTTGCTTACATATGTAATACACTCTACTCAGTGTGTATTAGAATATTCTGGTAATAAAAAAATGATTTGTCTGGGACATTAAAAAGTAAGCAAGTAGTAGATACTGGTTCAAGTTCTAAAGAACAACCCTGCATCATATAAGTGTCTCTTTTTGGAAATTTAGAAACACTTTAGTACTTGATCTATTTTTAAATATTGACTAAAATTCTTGTTTATATTACTATAAATTTGGTGGCCACTTTCCTTATTGTAGCATCTGAAAACCTGAGGTCTTTTTTAAACACCTTATTTCTTTTATCCATATTTCTGACTCTGAATCTGATTGAGTCTCTAGATTCTACTACCAGCTTTAGAAAGGAAGCAGCACAGGTTAAAAGACACACAAGTATGCAGTCAGAAAAATCAAGAGTGTGGGAAGCTCTGTACGAAAAATGGCCAAGGACTAATGACCTGACTTCTTCCACAGATAAATTGCAAAGTCAGAGAAGGGGAAGGAGAACTTACAGACTAAAAGAGACCTATTGGTCATGAACAATATGTGGAGCTCATTCAGGTTGTGATCTGAATACAATGACTATTAAAAAAAATTTGACAGCTGGGGAAATCCTAACACTGACTTGATATTTGATTGTAGGGAATGATTACATTTTGAGATAATGACAATATGTAAAATATAAAGCCCTTTTCTTTTAGGCTGATCTAGTAATAGCTGCTACTATTACCACTGATCTAGTAATAGCTGAAAATGTGTAGTGCAAGATCTGCTTCAAAAGTATCTAGTGAGGGGAAAGTATAGTTGAAATAAGGCTAGCTGGATGGTTGTTGAAGCTGAGTGGTGGTTATGTAACGTTATTGTACCGTCCTGTCTATTTGATATATGTTTGAAAGTTGCCTTTATAGATGGGAAAATTATTTTGATCAGACTTTCTAAATTGACTTACAGATGCTGAAAAAATTTACTTTCCTATTTAATAACATATGAGAATGCCCATTTCCACACACCCTTACCTTAGGTCTTAGCAAAAGTTCTGCTACTCTGATTTTTTTTAAGGCATAGTTTTAATAGTAGTTATGCTGCTGTTTGCACCTTAAAGAGCCCCTTATCTTCTCCAATCTCCAGAAATAATCTCCTTGTTCCTTGCTTTGCACTAAAGGAAACTTGTGTTCAGTAGTTCTGTTAACCCTGACATTACAAGGCAGTGAACTATTGGTTGAACGTCTTCCTTGATAGTTTTCTTTTCAACAGGCACATTTTTCATTTCTGGCTATGCCATTTAAGTATGCCATTTCTGTGATTGGGATAAATTCTGGAAAGAAAGTTGGAGTGAGGGCTTAACAGAGATGATAGCTGTTTCTTTATCCTGTTTGGGTCCTGTTTTCAATGGTGGCAAAATCCATTTGGAGCGTTTTTCATCGATGCATCCCCTCCAGACCCAGAAACACGGTTCTCCTCTTTGTTTCTGAAAATGAGCATGTGTGACTCCCCACACACTGAGAAGAAAATATGTGCACTGATAATTGGTCTCAGTAGGACTCCAGGAGCATTCTGTTTATTTGCTGCTGTCCAGTGGAGTTTCATCTTTCACTTCTCAGATAAATTGTATCCTGAAATGCATAATATAGCTTCAGATATAATTACAGGCAGTGATATTAAGTGAGAAGAAGAAAGTGTATCATCAGTTTGACAAATTCTTTTCACTCCTACCGTGTTTTATTGTGCATGACAAAATGCACAGGATTAAAGTAGCTGTTTTCTTTTCTTCCTCTAAGTAAAATTGGCACAGTGCTCCCTGCCTGGCAAGTGTCTCAGGAGCTTGTGTGGTTTCCTTGTTGCTTGGGTATTCAAGGTGTGTGTCATGTTTGCCTCCTCCGTTGCCCTTCTTCAACAGTCCTGACTCCACAGGGGCCATTGTGATGTTGGGGGAATAGCAGAACTTGGATTTCATTTCTGTGTTAGGAATTACGTGATAACGTTACTTGGCTTCAGTGTCTATTAACTATATGCCTAACATTCAGTACATGTCAGTTGAGTTTGAATTATTAACTTGACAAATCTGTAAAGCATGTCTGTTGTGTTAAGTTCTGTGCTATCTAGAAATATCTACATATACACAGCTCTTAGCTACAAGCGAGCCTTTTCCCTGAGTCTCACCCTTTCATTAATTGCTTCTGGTATGTGTTCCCCCTTTGCTTTGGCATGAAATTTTCAAGATACTGCTGAAATGTTCATGCCTTTTTTTTCTGTGCCAGTCTTTTAGGAGAGTTCCAGCATGGGGGAGGACAAGGTGGTTGGTACTATTTTAATGTCAGCTTCCTCAGCAGTGGCCCAAAGCCAGTGCTAACCTTGCCTAACCGCAGTTCTAGCAGTATCTGTTGGGAAAATAAATGCACTGCAGTTTTATAGGAGTAACTCTGAGTTGCTGAATCCATTCTTTCAGGCTGGCTCTGCAAAGAGACAAGGGATTTGTGAGGAGTCGAGGTGAAGAAGATGCTTTGATTTGTTCAGTGTGTGATAACATTCATCACTGGGGCTGGCATACATTTTAATTTTAAGTGACTTAAAATTAGGGGTGATAGAGAAACTGCTCTCGGAGACAGTAAGTGGGAACCTCGTAGCCCCGTTGTGATGAGGATCTGATAAGGATACAGAGGGCAGGTGGCAGAGGCAGTTTCATTGCCAGAAGTCCCCAGAAATTTCCTCGAGGAGTCCTCACCTCAGTGAGCTTTTTATTCTGGTTTTGGTTGAACCTGAAGCAGATGTATCTCCCATTAATTTAATCCTCCCATATAAAGCTCCTAAAAGGCCCTGAGCTTCAGGCATGGAACTTCATGTAAAAGCCTTAGCTCCTTGGTTAAGTGAATGTGTGTTAAAAACACATAAGTAAATGTCATAAACCATTGGTGCTTCAGTTTATAAAAGGAAACTGCAAGTCATGTGTACAAGCAAACAACAGCAAAAACATGCATATACTATTGGGGCAACTGATTTTTTTTTTGCTTTCGGAGCCTAACAGTTTCAAATGTTGGGAGATGGTCGTTAATTGCCAAAGCAGTTCAAACTAAAAATGTCCATGATATTGTTTCTATATAGAACTCAAAAAGTTATTCAGCTTAGATTTACACCTTCTGCAGTTAGAAGCTGAGTACCTTTAGGTGCCTAAAGGAACTGAAGTCATTTCCCAAAGAGCCAAATATTTTTCCACAAGCTTCTCTTCATTAAGTGCCTACTACATGCTCATAGCTGTTTGTTAAGGTTGTAGAGGAAGTACATGATGTCATCTCTGTCCTCAAAGAACTTACGCTAGTAATAACCTACTATTATGAATACTAAGCACTTACTAAATGCCAGATACCCTATACTGACCTCATATACATTGTTTCACTTAATCCTCACAAAACCTAGCAAGTCTGTATTATCTTGTCCATTTTTATAGATAAATGAGATGTCAGAATCAAGATTTTAAAAGGTATTGGCAGACCGGAAGACTAGAAAAAGCAATAAAATGAAATTTACTGGAAGAAATAAAATGAAATGTAGAAATTAGGCATTTAAGCAAAAGCCAGTTCTTTTAAGTCCTGAACAGGAGAAAATAGTTCAATAGCAGTCTATGGAGGGACAAAAAAAAAAAAAAAGGACTGGGACATTTTAGTTATTCTCAGGTTCAGATCTGACCATATTAGACCAGTGGCCGTGATGTAATCCGATGCTCTATTTACAAAATTCGGGACTCCACTGAGGAGTTAGTGAAGATAACAGGATGATGAGGGATCTGGAAATGTCGCCATGTGAGAAGTGATCACATGTTAAGGCCTTGAAATATTTGATGAACTTCTTTCCTGTGGCAGAAGAATTCAACTTACTCTAACTCAAGAGGACGATGGTAGTCCTGACCAATGCTTGGAAGAAACCCACTTGCTCTTGACTCAACAAAATTGTCACTGATCCATCCTGGCAGGACTTGGCTGCTGTGGGAGGGGATGACATGTTGAAGCAGAGGCGGAATGATGTTGTGGATGGGATTCTGTAATTCCAGGTGCTATAGGAGAGCAAAGCAGAGAGTTGGTGGTGGTGGGATGCGGGGTGGAGGAGGTGGGGGCGGGGAGTACAATGGTTGGAGATAGATCATAGAGAAACTGGAACATTTAGAAGACTGGGGAGGGAAGAACATTGAAGCTGAGGAAAACAACATATGGGAAGATGAAAGAAAAAAGGAAAAAGCTTTGTTTATTTAATAAGAAAGGAACATAGCTCCAGCATGACTTATGGTGGTAATTGGGCCAGGTAAAAGAAAACTGTTAACCATTGAGTTTTACAAATTATGTGTTGCATGTGAGAGTGAAGGAGTTGAAGACACATTAAATTTTCAGTGCAAAGGCACGAGGGGCACTCATCCAAAACCCACTTTAAGTGAGGTTGAGACTGTGCTACCATAACTTGCAAACAGAGGGCATGGAAGGTTCAGTACTTGCCTACCTGAAGTCTCCAGGGAGACAGGGCAGGCCTTTCAAACTGGGGTGAGATGATTTGATCTCATCTCATTTGAGCAAGGAAAGCTGTGGCAGGTTTTATTGGGGCTATGCATTGGGGTCAATAGGAGGGTTCCTGAACTATAGCCAGGGGTTTGTGAGGTTCAGAATTCCAGACTTGCTCATCAGCTTGTCCATATGTGGGCAAGTACCAGTAAAAATAAAGACAGATTCTTCATTACAGCCTATCATGGGAAATAATTTCTCTAGAACCTTTAAGGAAACTAGAGCAAAGAATGTCTTCCACTAAAATTTTGTACTGTGTGTGAATGCACCAGCTTGCTGACCTTAAATATGTGTTAACATCATAATTAAACTTTATCCAGGCCGCATTACCAGTGCATAACCAGGTGTTACCGTCGATTGAGAGCGTGGATGGTTCCGACCCTTTGGCAACTCTGCAGAATCCTATGAGTAGATTGGAGGCCAAAGAGGAGGAAGAGGAAGAGGAAGAGGAGGATACTGAGGAAGACGAGGAGGAAGATGGTGAAGACACAGACTTGGATGACTGGGAACCAGACCCACCTCGACCCTTTGACCCACATGACCTATGTGAGTAGCAGTTGTTCCGTGTGAGGGTGCACGAGTGGGGATGGAGTTCATGTGACCAGGGGTGTGCGTGCGCCATCTCATGCAGTCCTCACAGCCACTGAGCAGGCACGTCAGTGATGTGCTGATGCACTGCAGGCAGCCTGCTCAGTGTCACAGGGCTGAGTGGTGTCAACCCTCCAGCCCAGGCGTCTCCAGTACCAGAAAATGAGCTACCAAACCACGATGGTAAATGTGTCCAGTCCTGGGATATATGGCCCCCTCAGCTTTGATGACTGTGCTTTGTGACACTACTGCTCTTCACCACAACTTTTAGACATGCCTGCTTTATCTCTGGCACCGCCATTTCACTTTTTCTCACTCATTTAATGTCTCCACAGTCTTCTGAGATGCAGCTTCCCCAAGGTCATTCTCAGTCATGGCAAGAGTCAGGTGTCTGACTCAGGTGGCCTGGCCCCACGTGTCAGGGTCACCCACAGCACCTACTGCCCTTTGTGCTCCCTGCTTGTGGGCCCTGGGGCTCCTGCTTCCACCCCAAGCCAGTGCTTCTTTTCATTGATTTTTCATGCTTCCATGGCTAAATTCTTTTCTTTTTCCTTTTTTAAAAGATTTATTTATTGAAGCATACAGGATCTGGAGTGTAGGCCAGAGGTATCGGGGTGAGAGGATTCACCAGAGACAGAGTGGGGAGCAGGACAGGCAGATCTACTGAAATACACTGCTGAGGGGAGCAGCGGGTGGTCAGGAGAAGTCTGTTGGGCCATGTGGGTCAGCTCCCTGGTCAGGGATCAAACTGGTGCTGCAGTGGCTGCAGATAGCTTTATAGTGCTGTGCTTTAACCCGTTGCACCACCAGGGAGGGCTCTCTATGGCTAAATCCTTATCTGACTTACTTGAATTACAAAGGCTCTTTAGAGTTTATGTGGTCTGGTCATGTTTTCCTGGCAATTTCTGTGAGTTGGTGGTAAAACCTGTTTGCGTGGGGCCAGTATTCAGCTTCACAACCAATCCCCACCCCTTGTTTTGCTCTTCTTTGAATGTATAAGTTTTCTTTCTTTCTTTCTTTCTTTCTTTCTTTCTTTCTTTCTTTCTTTCTTTCTTTCTTTCTTTCTTTCTTTCTTTCTTTCTTTCTTTCTTT